TGGCCTTAGTACTAAAGCTGTTAGTACCGCGATAGTCGAAGTAATAGTAGTAGACTGTTGCCCCTTTGCTAGAATGAAGCTTCACGGCATTGTTCGTCCCGGTGAAGAAAAATATGTCAGTAATCATCTGTCACAGAAGAATTTCAGTAAAACAGAAAAAAAAAATTAAAAGAATTTAACCTAGAATAATAAATATGGCTATTGTGCCTTTCTGTTTTGTTTCACTGTTTTCGTATTTATTTATGTGTTATAGTACACGAAGTGCAACTCTGTAACGAGATAAGAGAGATAATAAACGGGGAATAATATTTAAATAACAATGTCGTTAGTCATTTGGGGCAATGAAAATTTTTTAAGTCAGTTTCTGTCAGAAAATTGCACAACTGAGGTGAAGGGATTGAACTTGGGACAGAATTTTTGAGCACGATTTATCTGATTTAGAATAGTGACCAGCGGCTTGTTCTTATGAACAATGTGACGAGTGAGAAGTTTCTTAATCAACTGAGAAACTGCCTATTTCTAAAATCACTCTGATTTATGTAATAAATTTTAGGAACATTTTAATAAACTAGGCTGAAGTATTTTGTGTCATCAGCCAGTTTATAAGACGTTATGTGTTCTTGAATGTGCACCATTTTGTCCACATTGTATGATTTTCCTTTGGGATTGAGTGGCCAAGTTTCACACCCGCACGAATCTAATTTACAATGCGTGTACGAAAACTTACGTCTATTAAACTTGAAGTGGCATCAGTTGCAGTTGGTTTATCTCCGAAGTAGAATTTCTGTATCTTTTGAGTAATTTCAGTTCTTAGTGATTTGTCCTCGAATTCACTAAGGAGAAGTTTAATTAAAGGACTGTCTTCCAGGTTTGTCTCCAACTTTTCCCCTAAAAACCCAACTGAAACACAAGAGAATCAGTTGTGATGTATATAGTCTTTGTGGCGATTATGTGACTGGTGTCTACGAACAATTAGCACTAGTACAATACAATCGCAGAATACGATAAATACTAAAACAAAAATCTCGGGTTCGATTCCCGGCGGTGCCCGAATTTATAACTTGTGTTGGGCAAGGCCGTGGTCTAGGCAACACGGAGTTTTCCTCCGTGGCATCCCAACAATTACTCCATTCACACACAGAAGAAGGCAATGGCAAACCACTTCTGGATCATCTGCCAAGAACGTATATGAACAGGTCCCAGTCCGAGAAAAGGATGGAAGGATCCTGTTCATATGGACCAGTCGTCAGACAGAACACTAAATAAATAAATAATTACGAAAATAAGTAATAAGACATACATAACTATAACAAGAAATCAAAAATAAAAACAACAGAAATTTCTGTACGAAAGAATAAGAACTTACAACAAACAAGGGGATATGACTTTTGTGCTCAAATAAGTAGAATATTTGTAAATTTGTAAATATACGTTCTAAGGCGTCTGTAAGGAAAGAATAGAAAGTATAATTATTCCGGAATAAATAATGCATATTCCTATCCGAGTACTTAAGAGTAAGTATTTTTATTTATACATCATTACACTACCCTGTCAATAGCTCAGGCTTTTAGTGTTGAAAGAGATAGTATGATCAATTAATTATTATAAATTTCAATTATAAGTAAAGAGGTGGTCGTGGCCAAATAAATTAAGTAAAACGAGAAACATATCTTAAGATACCCGGCGTATGCACAGAGATTTGAACCTGGGACCTTCATAATAGCAGTGTTACTCATTCGGCCACAACGTTGGCTATTAGCTTCAAATGGAAAACACCTTTACCACCTGCTATTGGATTTTCTGAGTTTGCCCATCGTCTCTAATCCCGAACAGCGATTTCCAAAGTACGAAATTAATTAGGTACCAGGAGGTACTCTCGAGTTTTCCACCTGAGGTCGGAAACAAATCCAAATCGAAAAACTGTGTTCAATTCGCAATACTAGTAAATAAAAAAGTAAAGCTGTCTCACTACACGCCATATAGACGCTTCGGGGGGGAGAGAGTGTAGCTCCTACTCATTCTCAACCTCGACACTAGATGGGGGTGAGGTCAACGTCACGACCCGGCCGCTCTAAACCCCCGTAGAAAGGACCCCGGTACCCATTGGACGTGACATTGGAATACTAGACGATGGGCAAAGTCTAAACCCAACAATTTTAACACAATCATTAGTTAATTTGATGCAAAATTGTCTTACAAGATAGAAAAAATCCTCCTTCCTTTGCCATTATTCCCGTCATCCAGGGCACAGGTTCCAAGTCACTAGAGAGAAGCATCTT